GGGGAAGGGAGAGTGCTGGTTTGGTGGTTGGAGCTTTGTCTTGGTGGTGAGGGCTTCAAGTGGTCATCTTTGTGAAGAAAGAACTCACCTTGAAGTGCATTTTCGTGCACCCTTGAAGTCAGTACCTTGGAGCTGACTTGTGAGCTCCAAGAGCATCTATGGTTGCTGTTTGAACCTTGGGTAAGCTTCACCAACCTTTGATCTTAAGTTTAGTGGTTAAAGATGGAACCTTGATGCATGTAATGGATTAAAGTTGATAACTTAACGTTGGTGTTGTTAAACACGTCTTAAATCGCATGTTTAAACTTCTGGATGCATGAAATGAGCCATCTTTGGGAAGGATATCTCGCGAAATGCAAAACTGCATTTTGTCGTGAGATATCTGGATATGCATATCCGGATATTGATATCCGGATATGTCCCCGACAAAAATTCGGATATTCTGGGTTTGCGAGGAACAGTAGCTTACTGTTCATCCAGAACTGATGTTTGGAGGTTTGTGGACCCTAGTTTGAGGAAGTTGAACTTCTGTATTAATTGGACTAAGTCAGAATCAATGGATTAAGGGCTTGTAGCTATGTGAGGAGCCTAAAGACGTAAAACATAAGAGAAGGCGTTGTCTTTGTGATGTATGCTTGTAGTGCATGTTTATTGATATATTATTGGTCGATATCATATTGTGATTCTACTGTGTTTGGGCTGTGAGCATTGGTTGGACTCTTGGCTTGGATAGTTAGCTTGAGAGGTAAGCTTTCGTGTCCTCGGTTTAGCCATTGTGTAGTTCCATCATACCCCATGGGGGAATGGTTATATGCATGCTGTGTTACATGCTTTGATATAATGAAATGCTTTTGAGCTGATATGTGCAATGGCTTTATGATATGCATGTGGTGTTCCACCTATACGGTAAGCCTGAGTATGTGGTACATACAAGATGGTGAAACTGGGGTGAAGTGCAAGCGACGTTCCTTGTACTATTATGTGTGGGTAATAGACGTATTCATACATTCTCTGGCCAATAGATTATAGTATTGACACACATGACATGATATTCTTCTGCATTGCACTATTTTGGAAATGATATTGTTGAACTGTTTTGGAACTTATATTGCACATGTAAGTGAGCTTGGGGTGGAAGATCATTGAGGACCCCTAGTCTTACTGAGATTTCTTGTTTAGAGATCTCTCCCCACGTTTGGGGACGCTTATTTCAGGTTCAGGTAGTATGGGGGCTGATGCCTCTAGCGGCAGGGGGCCGGAGCTTAGTTGATGAGTTTGCTGTTTATTTTGCTGATATGTTGGATGCTGGATATATCTGTTGATGCTTATGTTTTTAGCTTGCTTTTAGTATGTTGCTGATGTTGAGACTGATGTTGGGCTTTGTTGCCTTTTTGGGTGAGCATGAGGTTTGTCCATGCCACTTGGCTGTTAGCACTGTTATGTTGAGTTGTATAATCTGATAGTTGTCCGGCCTACGTGTTGTAGTTCCGTGACTAGAGACATACTTATGTTTTTAATGTAATGAGGTATTTCAGTTAGCTGTGTTTTGCAATTTACATATAGGCGATGTTTTATTAATTGATTAATAAGCAAGTTGGTAATGATAATGACATCATAATTGAAAAGAAAAATATATTTCGCATTTTTATTTAAGCGCAGCTTAATACAATGATATGGTAACATTACGGGATATATACGGGTGTTACAATCTGCATCTGCATTTTCGTTCTTTTTTTCTTCCTTTTTTTTGTTTCTTTGATTTTGTTTTTTTGTTTTCTTTTTCTTTTTCCTTCTTTTTTTTGGGTTATTCGATACTTCAACTTCACCTATTATACATATCTCATGTATATATCTCCACATAAATGCTCTATCAAAGCTCCGCCAGCTTACATGAAAACTAAACTCACTCCAAAGTTTGTACCAGCTGAGAGCACTACCTCTCAACCCCTTCATAGCTTCATTCAACATATCGGCTTCTTGAATTTGGTTTGCTTGAAATTTTTGTTCAATCCCGACAAACGATCCCAAGCTTTAATTCCATCTTTGTCTCCATAAAATTCTGGAATCACACACACACAGATATATATATATATATATATATATATATATATATATATATATATATATATATAGGTTAAGATCATTTTTATACCAGTGTAAGTTACACTCTCAATCTTGATCGTTGATCCCACTTATATCTAAAGGGTCTAATTTTTTAGTAATATGAGCCATTGGATACAAGTGGATCAATGGTCAAGATTGGGTGTAAGACTTATAACTCTTACACCGGTGTAAGAATATCCTGTCCCGCTATATATATATATATATATATATATATATATATATATATATATATATATATAGTCAGATCTGGATCAAAAACACCCCCTAGGTCGGACATGCTCTGATACCAAATTGATGGAACCCATAAAAATATATCGTTGATTTCATTAACAATGGAGCCATAGCCTCTTTTACATACACTAATAAAAAGATAAAATGCTAAAATTAAATCCCAAGAGACCTCAACTCCTAGAGATTCCCAATTTTCCCCTCTAGCCAATTCTGAATTCATGCATAAAGAAACTCCACCCTAAACATATATATATATATATATATATATATATATATATATATATATATATATATATATATACTAGTTCCTAATTAATGCACTTGGTTACTTTATTGAAGGCCCATCAAACTACATCTGCAACCTTCCACCTTTGGATGTCTTCCGAAATTTCTTGCAACTTATGCTCCACTAAGGGACCTAGTCTTGATAACCAAAGATCAAACCAAAAGGAGGTACGGACTCCATGAATTCCCTATTAGGATACTATACTTCTTATTTTTCTCTTTTTTTTAATCTACTCTAGTTATTTATTTTTAATATCATTAGATTAAAATTTTAACTGATCTTTATTCTTTTCTTTTTCTTATGGGATTCTGATTTTACTGTATTGGAGAAGAGTAGGTAGAGTAAACCCAAAATATATTAGAATATCTTCCACAAATATTTACCAATATGGGGGATATAACACTCCTAACTTAAGAATTTAATTAATTACCTATAACTAAATAATTAAACATGGATAAGTGGGTAGAATTAAGCAAGTTAAAATTAATGAGTTAAGGACACTTTTGAAGTAAAAAGTGCAGTCAGTGATAATTAAGGGTTAAGATGCGTGTAGGCAAAAGTACCCAAATTATAAAAGTAAGTTAAAAAAATTCCTAGAAAAATATTTTAGACCAAATGGTTAAGGTTGGTGGTGAATAGATAGACAAGCTTATACCCAGTTAAAATAACTTAATCTATGTTAAGTGTTAAAACCACTAAAACACCTCTCATTTGTTCATATTCTTCGCTGGAAAGGTGAGGGGGGAGAGGAGAAGCCATTGATGTTGAGCCAGAACCATAGATCCCTCATTCCTCCACCAAATTGATCTGTTCCAAAGCCTAAAGTGTGTCAAATTTCATCCTCTACAAAAATCATAGCTTGGTTCTTGTTTGGGGTCATTGTATTGGGAGATATCCCACCCTTTCCATTTCAAAAATTTGATAGATTTGAGTGATTGTGGGTGTTTTGTGTGCTTTGGAGCTTGAAGAATCACTCCCCAAGTATTCTAAGGTGACTTGGGCTAAGTTTCCACCATCCAACTCTTATTTTCATGAAAATTTGAAGAATCTAGGTTATGTGAATAGTGCCACACGAAAATTGGTTGGTGTGATGTGTTGGGAGCTTAAGCGCCTTGGAGAGCGCTTAAGCGCTCTTGGTGGCCTAAAAATACCAATTCCCTCTGCCTGTGCGTGCTTAAGCGCGTAGGATCGCGCTTAAGTGTTCTACCGGGCGAAAAATATGTTTGAAGAGCGCGCTTAAGCGCTCTCAGCCCGTTTTTAGCACGAACATAGGTTAGTAAAATTAGCATAACTCTAGCTACAAAGCTCCAAATTCAGTGAGGTTTTAACCTATGTAAAGCTAACACATAGAGCTATAAAAATGTAAAATATTATAGCCATTGGATGAGTATATCAATGTTAGTTTAGTATTGAAGTTGATGCTCTAATACCGAAAGTTGGATTTTGTCAGCTACGTTGCGAGTTTAATAACTCCGGATATACTTAACCAAGTTGGTAATTGTAATATCTTTCTGGAAAGTCCTAGATGTCTAGCATATCATAATAAAAAGGTTAAAGTTATTGGTTAAGTGTAGTGGTATCAGTTTAGAGAATGTTACATGGTTATAATTACGGTTTTGTTTTAAAAAGTAAATGAACAATATTTTTGTGAAAAAGTTTATCCGTAGTTTTAACTAATCAATGTGACTGTAACTGCGCTTAATATCCTATTTAATTGATGATAACACACCGGTCCGGTAACGGAATGTTACGAGGGAATACATACAACACATAATAATTCAAATTTTCTGACATAAGCAGTCCTTTATTCCCCCTTTTCCACTCAAGCTTTTGTTTTAATTTAATTTTTAATCAAGGTGCAGAAATAGTTGCTCCAAGCAGTTTTTTTTTAAAACAAAAATAAAATAAAATAAAATTCAAAGAACATTTAAAAATTGACTTACGTAAACCTCACAAATGAAATAACCCTTAAATTCAAACTCGGTGTAAACTTTGTTTTTCATTTATAAAGTTTCCGCCTAAGATTTGGATAATATTTTTTAGTTTTTACGCTAAACATGTTTTTAATCAATTTATTACCGGGGTAGGAGCATTACTCATGTTGGAACTTCAAGACAAAAGGAAAAGAACACCCAAGTAATTATCTAAAAAATTATCTGTTTGAGACCAAAGCTCCTACTTTTTCTGGTTTCTGCTTCCTTCCCTCTGCTATAAAGTCGGACGATTTATATGACCACAACCATTTATAATGAGCTTACACGTAAAATAGTATGATTGATTCAATCACACACAATTACAAATAGAAAAAGAAGGGAAGAAAAAGCTGGAGACATGAACCCTAGTTTAATAAGTCATCATATTCTCATCACATCACTAATTATAATACACTCAGTCACAACAGAATATAAATAAGTTAAAAAAATCTCAAGTCGCAACACTTATTCATGACCCAAGTCCAAATCGCTAAACCATAGAAAATTATAAAGCATCCGAATCCAACAAAGTAGCGGGAGATGAGTCGTCGTCGTCGTCTTCTTGCAAAGAGTCCTCCTTAAACAAAAACAAAAAAACAAAACAAAACAGGAAAAAAAAATTAATAAAAAGGTAAATCAGAAATAAAACAACAAAACGCAATTTGTGAAGTGAATTCGTAAATACACATTCCAAGCTATGGGTATGGTTTTAGTCATTTTTAGTTTAACAATGTTGCTAAGCAGATGAATTTGTAGAGGCTACTGCTAGTTAGATGGTTGCAGTCCTTGTGTCATAAGCTCACCCTCTATTCAACTCCAAAGACCATATTATAAAAAAAGATTTTCAATAATACTATGTTTTTGCGTGCATAACTAAATATTAAAGATAAAATGCACTTACTAGCTTTTTTATGTAAGGCTCAATATCACTCATGTACGTATTGCTTATGGGAAGATCACATCAAAAGATTATGTTATATAAGGCAGGATTTTCTTTATTAAGTATTACATTTTTTTTAAAAAGTTGACGCACACACATACACCTTAGCAACAGCTATTGACTAATTTTAGTGGATGTAATCGCTACTAAAATTAAAAAATCCAAATTAAAAAAAATAACAATTAATATAAATTATAAGAGGATCAGTATCGAAAACTATAGAGTGGGTTTTACACTTTACTGACCTCAACTCGCAGGTACCTCTGCTTTACGAAAGTTGTTGAACTTTACCATCAACGTAACATAAAGTTGGTCACCCATGTGATCAAGGAACCGATAATATGTTTGTCTCCATTTCCTAATGAGAAGGAATGAACCACAAATCCCCCAAAAGCCCACTGCAAATCCAACTCCCATCCCAAGACACAGTGACTCTCTTTCTATGCCCCCATCTTCGTTCTCTGCATCTTTGTTTGTATCTTTAGGAATTTCTTCTTGTGTGATACAATTTGAAAGAGGAGCTCCACAGAATTCTGGATTCCCAATATAACTCGATGCATTAAAACTTTGAAGTTGAGTCCCTATCGGGATTTGTCCATTAAAATTGTTGCATGATAGGTTCAAATAACCAAGAAAAGACAAACCAGCCATGCTCTGAGGAATCTCTCCATAAAGGTTATTATTGGAGAGATCAAGAGATTCCAAATTTTTCATATCCCCAATCTCCTTTTGTATTGTTCCCGTGAAATGATTGTGAGATAAGTTCAATGTTTGGATTTCGGTTAACCCATATAATCCTAAGGGAATTTTTCCAGACAAGTTGTTAGCTGAAAGGTCAATAGTTCGCCTATCTGGATTGACTTCATAATCATCATAATCTTGACCTTTTGTATGCAAAAGGATTACGTAACCACCCAACATGCCATACGAGGGATAATAATCTGTAGCCATACGAGTAACATTAAACACACACCGAGGCATAGATCCTGAAAGTTTATTTAGGGAAAGATCCAGGTGAAACAAAGTAGAGAGATTGAATAGCTGGGGTGGAATATTACCCACGAAATGGTTAGATCTCAATATCATCACTTGTAACTTCTGTGGAATCTTAATCGGTATAGTTCCAGAAAATTCATTTTTTCCAAGGATCATAACCTCTAAATTCATAAAGTTTGAGAGGTCCACTATAACTTCACCGGATAATCTATTACTCCACAGGTTAATGTACACCAAGTTATTCAAGTTCTCCCAACCACGAGGAATTGGTCCTGAGAAGGAGTTGTCAGATAAATCCACATCAGTGGCCTTTGGCAATATATGTGGGAGCCCTCCAGTGAAATTATTATGGTCCAACCTTATAAACGAACAATTCAACGTAACGTTCGATATGTCTTCACTGATTGAACTATTGGACATACTGAGATACGACCAATAATGTCCTGCTATGAAGCTCCTAAACATGTCTCCATCTACGGATGAAATTCCAGAGCTTGATATATCTAGCCATTGTAATGAATTCTGTGTATATATCCACGATGGAAAGTTGGGACCTTGATTTGTATTTCCCAAAGAAAGACCACTAAGTTGAAATGGAGGAATCCATTCAGGATCCAAATGGAATGCAAAAGTGGAATTGCTCAAGTCCAAGTCTTCTAATTTAGAGAGTTTGGATAAAAATGGTTCACATATTGCACCGGAGAAGGAATTAGAGCCAATACTTAGGGAAACTAAGGATGACAAATTTTCAAGTGCTGAGGGAAAGGAACCAGAAAATAGGTTGTTGGATAGATCAAGGGACTGCAGATGTTCTTGTTGGCCAAACCAATTAGGAATTGATCCTTCGAGTTTGTTCCCTGATAGATCAAGGTAATTCAGATTCTGTAGGTTTAACAAACTCGAAGGTATTTCACCATGTATACTGTTATACGAAAGGTCGAGATAGGATATGTCAGTACTGCTGAGATGAAACAACCAGTATGGTAATTCAGAGTTGAAATTGTTGTTAGAAAGATCAAGAGTTACAAGTGAAGTAAAATTCACATACTTAAGAGATGGGCTGATGTTGTTTAGGCTACAACCACTCAAGTGTAACTCTGACAATGAAGGAAGCATAGCCACCTGTTGAAGCCAGTTGGTTTCATTGTGAAGACCGATTCCGCTGAGGTCGAGATATTTCAAGGAAGAATGTTGAGAAAGCCAATGAAGATTATCCATTTGAAGATTATTTCCAGTATGGTAATGAAGTTCAAGATGAGAGATGCCACTGCTGAGATTAAACAACCAGTATGGTAATTCAGAGTTGAAATTGTTGAAAGAGAGATCAAGAGTAACAAGTGAAGTAAAATTCACATACTTGAGTGATGGGCTGATGTAGCTTAGGCTACAATCCCTCAAGCGTAACTCTGACAATGAAGGAAGCATTGCCACCAACTGAAGCCAGTTGGTTTCTTTGTGAAGATCGATATAACTGAGGTTGAGATATTTCAAGGAAGAAAGTGGAGAAAGCCAATGAAGATTATCCATTTGAAGAAAACCGTAATTCCAGGATAAGTCAAGGTAAAGAAGGTTAGAGGCAAATGTGACATTGTGAGGACTAGGTGGAATACTTATCACATCAAAGTAATTGTAGCTCAAATCCAAGTAATTCAGAAATTCAAGTTCTAGCAAACATAAGTTTATTTCACCTTTCAAAGAGAATCTTTGAAGATCAAGCTTTGTAACCCTGCCTGTAATGTTGTCGCACTGGACTCCTTTCCATGCACAGCAATCTTCTTCGTTTGACCATGTTGAAAGATGGTCTGAACTATTGGTTATGCCTTGTTTGAAGATTGATAGTGTCTCTCGATCCTTCTTGTTGCAATGAACAGCCCTGTGATTGCTAGACATGCTTATGTGGATTGTGGTTGTAAATAAAAACAAAAGCCAAAGAAATGAAAATTGTGAAGTAAAAGTGACCATGGTTCATGGAACAAGAGAACAATGACTGATTCAAATGGGATTTCTGAGTGATGTTTGATTACTATTTTGCAAGATCAGAGTCTAATTATATAGGTTGTTGGCTTTTGAACGCCAGAAAAAATGGATGGCTCTGAACAATAAGACTTGGAAAAAAGGCAGGGAAGACTTGGAATTGTGAAGTTTCTTTGAAACTCACGTTACGAAAAATATCTTTTGTTTTGCAAGAAACCATCTATATGATTGCTTCTTGCCAAATTTTTTATTTTATTTTGTCAAACTACTGTTACAATATATTTGAGAACCATTTATTTTTCCCTTTCCTGATCATTTCATTTAATAGTATTTTGCCCTTTCTGGTTTAAAAATCTATTTGACTAATCACATCTCATGAGATATCATTTAAGAATGATAAATTTCAACAAATAATTGATATAATCTCAAAAGATCATAAAGACAGACAGTCATTGACTTTTTTCATATACGATGCCGCCATTTTTTAATATAACCGTTATGTAGAATTTGGTTGCAACGAACCACTATAATTGCTAGACATACTTACGTAAAATTTGGATGCAGATAAAAACAGAACCAAAAAAATTGAAATTTACCGCTATGCAACATCTTAGTCTAATTATATAAATTGTTCGCATATGAACGTTAATAGAAACAAGGAATGGCGCTGAACAAGAGACTTTAAAAAACAGGGGAGACTTGGAATATAAGATAGGGCTTTATTTTTATTATGTTACATAACATAAAATCATTTTCCTACACACACAAATTTTATATGGGACCCACTTTAAATTTTTTCTCTTTTTCCTATTCTCTCTCCTATCTCTTCCTTTTGTGAGAGTAGGAAATTTGTTTTTATGTTCTGTTACGTAACAAAAACATTTCTCTATAAGATATGCTTCACAAGTTAATATAATAATGACACGAGAAAAAAAAAAAATTGACGAAATTGAGCAATTCCCTATTTTATGTCTCACTCGATGGACTAAGACATGATACCGTGAAAATTGGGAAAGCCTTAATTTCAAATCATAGCTAAGAAGATAATGGCTGTGGAAATTACAGCAGCAAAGTTAGGTTGCTTTGGTCTCTCAGTTGAAAAACAAATAGGAAAATACTTCATGAAGTGGGTCCATTTTGGATCAACTATTGGACTATCAAATCGACTTTAACTATACTAGAGAAAAAAGCATAAGACATACAAATTTGAAATTGGTGTCGATCTATCAAATTTGAATGATAAGGTCATCTGAATTCTAGTTAAATATAAAATCTTAATCATACATTCTATTAAAAACAATCTTAATCGTAAATTTTAAAATAATTTCTAATTAAAAATAAAATATTAGTTTAATACAAGTTTCTTAAAATATGATACTTTAATTGAATCGAATTAAATAAAAATATTGACGTGATAATATTTTCTTATGAATATATAATTTATTAAAGATAAAATTATTTTTAATAATAAAAGATCTCGTGAATAAGAAAATATTTTAAAATTTGTAAAAAATGCACATAATAATTCTTAAATAACACAATTCTAAAATAAACTTATTCATTTTGCATCATTCTCCCATTTAGAATAACTTAAATCGGGAGAGTTGAACATGTCCATTCAAAGAACTTTAGAAGAAAAAAAAGTTGTATATAGCACCTTTTGAAATTTTAAATATATTTTTAGATTTAAATAGTTTATTTTAACTATTTAGTGATTCAAAATTTCTATTCAAGTCGTCAATATTTTCAAGGAGTATATAAAAAAGTATTAGGAAAATAAAAATGTAATGCTATTTAAATATATAAGTATTTTTTACTCTAAAAAAATATAATAAAAAAGATTTAAAATTGATGAAACTATGATTTAGTTTGTCAGGTATATATATAGGTAGGATCAACTTACATCGATATGAGAATAAAATCTTTTATACCAATTTTAGTCATTGATCTACTTATATCTATCTACTCTAAGTTACTAATCATGTGAGTCATTATATACTAATGGTATAATAATCGTAACCAATGAAATGAAAAATTAAATATTATTCTAGGACTAAAATCAAAAAAATTGGATTAAGAATAAAATTTGGATATTTTTGGTGATATTTGGGAAAACATGCAAATAGTGAAATATCATGGTAAAAATGCAACTGTGCAAAAATACCTGAAAACTTGAAAATTAGCCGGTGAGAGTTTACTTAATGACACTGGTGAATGTTAAAATGATAATTTGATGATTAAAACATGAGTTAGGAGTTTAAGTGAGGGGTAAAATAATAATTTCCTATGTGTGAAACCTTGACTTAAGTCAAAGCTCCACTTAAGTGAAATCAAGACACCACTTAAGCTATTTTTGCTTGTCTTCTTCGTGGGTATGCCGCCTCACAAAACCGAGGGCCATTTTTGGAGACCTTGAAAAATCTACTTCCAATTTTACTCACTTTTAGCCTTAACTTTGGTCATGAAAATTGTTGGTCTTGTGATCATCTTTCCTCTTAAGAAACTTGGTTGAAAATCATTTTGTGAAGATATCCTTCCCCAAGAAAGTGGCGACCTTGATGGTGTTCATGGACTTTGAGAGTGGCATTGCTTGCTTTGAGGCTTGATTCTTGCTCCTTGAACAATTTGGAGTTGATTGGTGGTAAGTTTCATTGATTTTCATTGAGTTTCTTGGAGATCAAAATTTGAAGTTGTCTTGGAAGAATGATGTTTTGGTGGGGCTATTTTTGATTGCAAATTAGACTTTGTTTATGTTGGAAAATATGTTTGTAATGTAAAGTGAATGGTGAAAATGAGATGAAAACATGGTTATGTGATCATATAGTTTTTGAACCGAAAAATAGGTTGGGAAAATGATGAAAAATCCGAAGTGTTGTGATAATGGTGTGTGAGTTGGACTTAATGTATGTTAGAATAGATGTTAGAGAGCTAAAATATTGGTGGAAATGTGATTGAACATTCAATTTGGTCATTTGGTGTGTGAACCAAAAATTATGCATGGAAAAATGATGAAGTCTTGGTTGTTTTGCATGATAGAGTGTAGCTTGGACCTAAGGTGTGCTTGAGTAATAGTTTGTGAGAAGGAATAATAAATAAAATGGGACTAAACAATTAATGGGGTTACGTTGAGCTTTGGCCGAAATGGGACTTAGAGGAAGTGTTGGAAATATCATGTGTTTGGAGGTCAATGACATAAATTGGTTAGTTGTCCCTTTGTATAATATGTTAAGGAATCAATGTGGATGATAAAAAGAAATTTAATTCATCAATGTGGTGGTGGTGGTTTAGGGCTGAATTGTGGCATGAATAAAGCATGGTTTTTCATGTATTTGGATACTTGTATTATAAAATTGTGTGTTGGTGCCTTGGTTATGTGATATTGTAGATTGAAGTAATTAGGTTGCTTGATGAAAGACTAGGTATTGCCTTGGTATAACACCTCATATATTTCAAATATATTATTAAATCCCTAATTGAGGATTGGAGGGCTTATTTAGAGAAAATCATGAGTTTTGAGTGAAAATACCCATCAGGGGCAAAAGGGCAATTTTCCAAATATGAAACCCTAGACTATGAAATATGAAAACGAGACATAATTTAAGGAAAATAATATTGAAAATGGATTCAGTACAAAATTTGGAGATCGTAGGTATATTTTGAGAAATTTTGATGAATAGTGATTTTTACCGGATAAAATATTATGGTGTAAATTTACCGATAAACGTGAGAAATAAAATTATGCTATAGGAAATAAAAATATGTGGAGTTGGGATAAAATTAATGAATTATAAATTTAGTGATGATTGGTGGGTTAAATGAGTAGATTTAAGTGAGTAAAGTGATAAGTGGGACCACCCCACTAAAGTGACCTTTAATATTAGTTTAAAATTAAGATTTTGAAGCTCTCTCTCTCCTCTCATCAGCCCCAAATCGTGAAACCCACCATTGGAGACCAAAATATGAGCTTGAAACTCCATCTCCATTTTTAAACACTTTTAGGAGAAACTTGCAACTACAAAGTTGTTCCCCACACCATTGTGAGTGTGTTTCATGTTGAGAGAGTCTTGTGGGGAGCATTGAGTGAAGAGATCCTCTCCCTCCTAGTGGTGGTGGTTTTGAGGCCAAAGGTGGTGGTTAGTGACAGTTTTGGATCATCCAAGACTTGAAAATCATTCTTGGCGAACCTTGGAGCTAGTTTGTGGTAAGTTTTTACACTTTTATTGAGTTTTATGGAGATTGAAAAATGGGTTAATGAATGATATTGTATAAGAGGCTGGAGGTGGTTGGGAGCATTAAATGATGTTACTCCTTTGGAAATAAAAGCTTGGAATGATAAATGAATGCGGTTGAATCAATAATATTTAAGGTGACAAAGTTTTGTAACTTAGTGAAATTTATGAATAGAATTGTGAATGGGGTCTTAAATATGGTTGGTGAAAATTATGTGTAGGTTATTGGGGAATTTAATGTGGATGTTTAATGAAAATGAAATATGATAGAACAATTGAAAATCCCTTGGTTAGTGACAAGATGCCCATTGGCCATATGGAGATAATTTGATGGAAATTGGGTTGGAATGTGAGAGTGATTGTGTGTTGTTTCATTATTGTGACTTGTTGATCAAGTTATTGATGATCATTGTTGTATGATCATTGTAGGTTACCTCTCACGGATTCAATAAAAGTGGATTGAGCTTGGATCTAATGTTGGAGAGCATTGCTTTTGGAATTGAGGTAAACTTTTGGTTCTAGGGTTAATCCCTTGTGTGTTCCACCATGCCTGTAACACCCCGTGTGCACCCAGCGTATTAAACATACATATAGCAATAGCGCAGCTAATTAAATGCGGAAGCTAACTTTTTCTTTTCAATTATGACTTCATTATTATTAATCGAGTTGATTAATTAATCCTTTTTCAAAATATTGCATGTATGTACATTGCAATAAAAGCTAACTGAAATACCTCATATATATTAAGTGTGTATCTAGTCACGGAACTACAACACGTAGACCAGACAA